GATAGTAAATGACTAGTTATTTCTAGTGTGTATGTGGAACTGAAAGTGGGAACTAATCTAGAGTCATTTTGTTAGTGTTTTATGTTTGTTTGTTTTTTAATATTTGGAGACAGGATCTCAATAAGTAACCTAAGCTGGCTTTGACCTTGCTATTAGCTTGGGCTGTCATGAGATTTGTAATCCTCCTGCTTCAGCACCATGAGTGCTGAAGTTATAGGTGAGGCTCATCATGCCCAGCACTGGACTCACTTCTGTTGGATACTGAATTAGATATCTGTGTTTCTTGGGGGTTCACTATAAGCCCTAACTGATGCCTCAGTATGAGGCTTGTATGCTTGTGAAAGTCATTCAATCCTCTTCCAAACTGCGCGATAGGAATAGAACTCTGTACAACACAATTGAAGCCAGGCTTGGCCATACAACACCTGCAGGGGAGGGGTTGGTAGGACAGCCAGCTTTTGCAACTTCCAGGGAGCCTGAGCTACCCAAGACCTTGACTCAAGCAATAACAAAAAGATGCAGGGTTTGCGCAGTACTCTAAGGTTGAAAATTAAGTAAAAACAAGGGACATGCTAACTGATGATACCTTGGAAAGTAAGACTTGACGTAACCCACAACCACCAGATAGAGATGTTACTTACCACTCAATTCCCTTACAAATCACATGGGTTTTTAATCTGTGAAATGACAGTTGTGCCACTTTCCATCAGCTGGGACAAATCCACTTGGCTCAAAGACCTTTTCTTTCTTTCTTTGTTTCTTTTTTTTCCAGCATCTAGGTGGTCCAATGTGCTGCTACAGGGGGATAAGGCAACTGCAGATCCCGTAGGAACCAACGCAGACATGGCCATCAAGGTAAGTCCTTTCTCAGATGGCTTTCCCACAGTCCTCTGTATGTCCGAGTGAGGCAGTGGCAGGCTCCTGCTGCCCTGCTGGCCTTCTCTCTAAAACAGACACAGGGTTTCCTGAAATCTGGGAGCAGATAAGGAAAGCTTTGATAAATCATATTACATTCTTATTTATTTTGTATGAATGTGAGTATGCATGAATAGGCCTGTAATGGACCAGAACACAAGTGTGGAGGTCAGAGGGCACCTTGCAGGAGTCAGTTCTCTCCTTCCACTATGTGTGTTCTGAGGATTGAATGAAAATGTCAAGTTTGGCTCTAAGCACCTTCACCTGCTGAGCCATTTCACTGGCCCTAAGAAAGTTTTTGAAAACCAGAAGCTATGTCTTGATTTCCAGTGGGTCTGCTCTAGGGTACTCATGTACATCTAAGAATAGGCTGTGTCCAAGCAGTAACCTCCATGGGGTCAGAGCAGAGATGTGAATAATCTAAGCTTTGAGAAATCTGGCCCCACTCCATTGTGGAGAAAGGTCACAAAGGCACAGGGCAGCTTTGGTTCAGACTCAGGATTTCCAGTGATGTCAGCACATGGCCCACTCAGGCGGGAATAGTGATGACCAGAGGTTTACAAAATGAGTCATCTGGAAGTTAATGAAATGAGCACCATTCAAATGAAATATGTAATCATTGCATGGATTAAGGACTCTGTAATGAGGCTTAACCGTGCTGGGTCTGATATGAAGAGGCCTCTTCTCCTTTGCTGTTTGAGTTAGCAAAGGGTGCGGGAGAACTTCCTCGTATCTTTTTTTTGGATGATTTGAAGTTTTAGTATGTGCCATTTCTGAATGTTTTCTTCTGGAAACATAAAACCAAACAAAGTCCTCTTTTTGTTTTGTATTGTTTTAAGACAGAAAAAAGTGGTAGGAGAGAGAGGGGAAGAATTGGAAGGAGGGAAGGGGACGGGTAAATTTGATCAACACATATTATATGCATTGAATGAAAAGCTTACTTCTATTCTATTGTGTATTTATTTATTTATTTGTCATACTAAGGGTTGAATCCGAGGCCTTCTTTTTGCCAAACAAGCTCTCTATCATCTCCCAACTTTTATATTTTAAGCACCTTCTAAATACATCAATGTGGGTAGAAGTATCATATGGACCTGCTTGATAGTTTAAAAATGTTCATTCTAGTAGGTTGAATTGTGAAACACACACACAAAAAAACAAAAAACTGCATCTATAGAGAACTACTTAAGAAGAAAAGGGGGAGCAGAGAGACAGGAGAGGGAAGTAAGGAGACCAGGATCCAGGTGTGCCATAATAAAGCCTGTTATTTTCAACAATTAATGTATATTATTTTTAAAAATTCAGGAGCTTAGAGAGATGATTCATCAGTTAAGTGTATGCACTGTTCTTCCAGAGACTAGAATTTGGTTCCAAGCACCCAGGTGAGATGGCACAAAATCACTTACAACTCCAGATCCACGAAGAACTAACACCTCTGGCCTCCTCAGGCATCTGAATGTACATATGGCTACATGTACATACATGTGCATACATGTGCATATCCACCTACAGATCGAAACACATACACGTGAGTAAAAGTAATATCTTAAAAATCATCTGGGTGCTGGGCAGTAGTGGTACTTACGTTTAATCCTAGCACTTAGGCGGCAGAGGCAGGTAGATCTCTATGAGTTTGAGACCAGCCTGGTCTACAGAGCTAGTCCCAGGGCAGCCAGGGTTACACAAA